CTCCGGATCCCCGCGGCGCACGGATCTCCCCGGCGCCCTCCCTTGGCTCCGAGCCAGGCGGGAAGGGGACGGCCACGCCGCGAGGCTACCTGGGGACACCTGCCGCCGGTGAGGCCCCAATTCGCCCTACAGCGCTCTCCAATGAGCGTCAAGAAGCAGGATGTGGCCAGAACAGGATCAGGATGCAGCTGTTAGCCCGGAGGGAGGAGGCCTCCGGCCGCTGCCACCTCCACTTTTAAGCACGTGATTTAACTCAAAAAGAGGGCATCTCTTGCATCCCGTTCAGCCGCCATTTAGAAATAATGTCCAATCACTAGGCCGAGGCCAGGAGCTCCATTTTTGCATAACTTGGGGCACAATGCCCAGCCCTTCTCACCTTTCCACCTGACCCGAGCGCCTTTGGGGGCGTTCTTAGTATAGTTTCTGACAATGCACTTTCTAAAAAGCTGAATATCTGACAGGTACTTGGGATTTAATAACTCTGTGAACTCTTGTCCTCCAGTGAAAAGCAAAGCACTGGATTAAGATCAACTAATTCCCTGACACAAGACATAACACACAATGAGGGTTTTTAGTAAATGTGAGACAGCCGAAGTAATAAGTTAACGGAGCGGTTGTTACAGTAAAATCAAAAGTTTACAAGAGACCGTGAGAGATGTATTCTTACACTAGACCTCAGTATAGTAACTGCGTGCCTGTAAGGTAAATGCGGGACACAGACCTATTTCCCCCCTCCCTGGGAAACTACCCCCTGCCAAGGTAGTTTACCCAAGGAAAGGCACGTCTCTTTTAAGACAAATAAAAGACAGTAGAAAGCAGGAGCCCTACGTAAATAAATTAACATGTAAATGGAGTTAGAACACTAGTGTTAACTACTCTGGAGCCAGAAGGGTGACAAGTAAGTTAACTTGTCTACTCAGCCAGATCTCCCGAGCTCTCTGAGTTGGGTGAGGGTCTACACATAAGCCTGCGAATGATATTTACACCTCTCCTTTGATCTGTTCACTATGTAACTGTTGTCTGTAGCGCACGGTGGTGTGGATTTCTAGCTAACCGGCTGCCGTCAGCACCTCCCGGAAGTCTAATAAACCGATTTCTCTACCTATTGCATATTGGGTGAGTTTCTTTGGAACAAGCAAACACAACGCGAGTACCCTTTCAGATTTGGGGCTCCCGCGATACAGTGCCCCTCCAAGGCAAATACTTTTTTTGAATTTAATAAGAGTTGTCAACATTTTTTATCGCTTTTTGTATGCCGCACACTATTGTTGGTGATGTGCACAAATTATCCCATTTAATCCTCACTTTAACGCTATAAAGCAGGTATTTTATCCTATTTTGTCCTCACTTTGTAGATGAGCAAGCTGAGGCACAGAAAAGCTGAATAACTTGTCCATTCACAAAACATAAAGTGAATTTTTCTTAAAGTTTCAAGTGTATGGCTTTCGTTACGGGTGAATACATACTTCATTATAGGTGAATACATATTAGTCTAATGCTGTTAAATACTTGGCCGTACTTCTAAAAGGAGCAACAATGCACCTGGTGAACAATAGTGGTGCTTTATGTTTGTTCAGCACACTTTTCCTTTTTTTAAGGCATTTTCATAATAACGCCTGACCCTCCAGGTAGAAACCTGGTGTCCCTTGACACCACTACCACCACCACAATAAATAGGACGCTTTTGGAAATTAGAGTTAATATAAGGAAAGCAGAAGTTTCATACCTTTTCCCTTAGGTATCCAGAGTTTAAAATTATACTGGGAATATTATTTTACTGTTTTATACCTGTATTAACTACTGCTGTTGCTATTTAACAATAAAATGTATGAAATGGAAGGAGTGGAATTATTCATTATATTGCTGTTGTTTTGTTTTTCAAGGTTTTTGTCCCTGCTGACCTGGGATTGAATGAGTCCTGAGAACCTTTCTTCACATGCCAAACATTGCAACAAGCAGCACTTTCACAGGGGCAAACACTAAAACTGGATCTCTTTTCTTAGTTGACTTCAGAGCCCTTTCTATCTCCACCCACTAAGAAGGCATGTGATATCTACTAATCTTCAGCACTATTCTTATGTAGGGTATCTCTATCAGGAACTATGAATTTAAAAACTCAAACTGAGCTGAAAGGGATGAAGAAAGAGGCCGAGAAAACAACAGGTTATAGACATTTCAACATTTCTAAATCAATCAGAACTTCAAAATCATTTCACATTTCCCATCATTACCAAATCGCCTAAACAGAAGAAATTGGCAGACTAAAAACTAATAGGGAAGGCCAGCTCGAGGTCATTGTACTTGTTGGAATGATCTTCCCCCAGAGAGCCACATGACTCTTCTCTCAGCTGAATTAGGTCCTGCTTAATGTCCTCTTCTCCGAGGGAAGGCCAGCTCGAGGTCATTGTACTTGTTGGAATGATCTTCCCCCAGAGAGCCACATGTCTCTTCTCTCAGCTGAATTAGGTCTCTGCTTAATGTCCTCTTCTCCATGGGTCCTTCCCGGACCATCCTATTTGAAATTGCAGCTCACCACCCCCTATTATTTCCCTTATTTCCCTTCCTTGATCTTTTTTTCCAAAATACTCAACCATCTTTCGACATGCTATATAATCTATGATTTATTTTATTGTCTCTCTCTGCCACTAAAATGTAAGCTTCTCAGCACAGGAATTTTTGTGTATTTTGTTCACTGATATATGCTCATCGCCTAGAACAGACCGGGCACATTGTAGATGCTCAATAAATATTCACTGAATTAATTAACTGAATGAATAAAATGAAAACTAGAGAAAAGTGTGACTAATTACCTATTTCCCTAAGAAAAGTGAGTTCCATTATATAAAATCCTAGAAGTGGGGTTGGCAAAGAGCAGCCTTTTTTTCTACTCTACATCATTGCTGTCAGGTGACTGGCAGGCCCCAGGCAAGTTTCCTGAAGATCTGAAGCTGATTAATTGGATGTAAAAGGGAACAGCTGGTCTAACAGATTACAACTATCAAACTGATCATGATTAAGAGTAATAGTTAAAATGAAATTTACTAAGGTTAATTATGCTGCTGATACTAATCAGTATTTTCATTTGGAAGTTTAGTTTTAATATTTAAATAATTATTCTAATAATTTTAGACCTGATACAACTAGAATACAAGGTCCAATACTGCCTTATTATTACAAGGAGCTAAGAAGCATCTATTTCTGTGTACAATATGCTAGAATGCAATTTATGTAAATCTATTGTACAATCTACAGACTGTGACCATTTAAGTAACTTCTAAACTTGTAATAAGGTTTTGCCAATAACCTTCTGACACTAATCATTTAAAACTACCTTAACAAGACTTTCAACATTTTTGATAATTTGATAAATTTTTAGCACATGCAGATACACACATACAGACTGAATAGCTATAATAACAGCTATGATCATTCTTGGGAGATTTCTAAAATCTAGCAGTTAATCTTTCACTCTAATCTTTCAAGGATTACTCATTCCTGGAGTCACAAGGGAAATGTAAAAGGTCATTGCTTTCAGTTTGCTGTCATGGGAACTCAGATTTGCTCTTTAATTTTGCTGTTTGCAATTTATTTAGATGCTTGGAATACAGTAAAATCTATATTAGTAATAACTATATGTGAAAAAGATTCTTATATTTTTCAATCCAAAAAGTGGATTGAAAGTAAAAAGTGGAATGAGATAAAAAGGGATTTTAGTACTTTAAAAAACATCAAGACTTAGACCCTAGGAAATGCATATTAATACACAGTAGACAGTCAATAAATAAGAGCTATTAACGTCAAATGATATTTAAATCATAAAATGTGAGTGCTTAGAGGAACTTTAGAGATCTAATTTGACTACTAATTAATCATTATACTAGACTTTTAAAGTGACAGAATATAACCTTTGCTTTGCAATAATAGAAAGTTTGTGATTGCTCAATGTATGGCAGCTGGGAACTAAACCTCTGCTCTCTCGCCTGTATTCAAGTGATGTGCTTTGAGAGGAAGTGATGTGCCTATCATGCCAGCACTTGGGTAGCCACTGACAAAGGCTAACATCAGTTGGCTAAGCCATCTTGTCCAAATGGTTGTTTAGTGCCTCTTCCGTGGTGAGTGCTTTATGGTGGGCATAAACATGTGATACAAAGATTTTCACACTTTGTCTCTATTCCTGTATGTCCACCCATGTGCCATTACCCCAGACCTCCCTTTCTCCAGTCTTCTAATCATTTTCATTCCAGGCTCATCACCAGACAGCCAAGGTCATTTGCCACTACCAATGAGTCCAAATGTATTCTAACCTCAGAACACTTCTTTAGCACAAACTGGATGGTCAGGTGCACCACCCAAGGCTCTGCCCATTAGGACAGTTTTCTCTCACCACTGTCAGTCAAGACCAAACCTCAATGAGGCTGCAGGGCAACCACCACTCATTTCTACCTCACACCTACATACCACCTGTTCTATCCATAAACCAAGCTCAGGCTTTTTGCTCCTCCTTTGGGTGGTCATATGGGACCCTAAGTGTGAGCTGAAAGAGGGCACAGGTGTAACCATGATGAGTGATACGGGAGTCTAGACTACCTGTTCATGCATTTGTTTGTGCCCTCTGATCCTGCTTATGCTTGGTCCCGGATGTACTGCTCCATCTTATGAAGGATTAAGGCTTGTCCTGACCAACTTTATGACTTGGTGAATCCAAGAGGACCCGAGTCATGACGAGTAGTTCAGGAAGCATGGTTGTTTGGTGCCTCATGGTTAAGAGTTCCACCTCTATCAGTGCTCAGTACACTAGGAGCTGTTTTTCAAATGGTATGTAATTCTTGCTATAGATGGCATGATCTTGCTCCAAAACCCTAGGGGCCTGCCTTGTGATTTTCCTACTGGGGCTTGCTCTACATGACATCTTTTTCCACTGCTGACACATCGAATACCATAGAGTCTGCTGGAGTATATGCCCAAGCAGAAGGGCTACTTGTACCACAGCTTGGACCTGCTGCCAGGACATGCTTCATGGGCATATGATCTCTGCAATTGTGCAAAGCCCCACTCTCAGAAGGTCCCCATGCTTGGTTTAGTGCTCTATGTCACAATCATGAAATTAGTAACAATTTTACCATTGAACTTGTGTTTTGTAAGGGAAGTTAGATGGGATGATGGGGCATGTGCCTGAGCAGTGAAAATAACCCAGGCCTGGAGGCACAGCATTGTCACACGTGCATGCCTCAGGGCCGTCAGGGGCCCCTTAGAGACCCAAGGTGGCCAGGTGGGGACCAGCCCCATTGCCGGCAGTGACAGTGGAGAGAACAGTGGAGAAGCAGCAGCAGCGGCAGTGGTGGCAACAGTGGTAGGAAAAAAGGAGATTGCATAAAACCGCTGTGGAAGTCTAGCTTGCCTGTCTGTTCCCCAGATCCCATCTCTGCAGCATTTGCACAAATCTCAACTCCCAGGCCCGAGAGCTGGGACAGGAACTGCCAGAGTTTAGGCAGTACATGTTGTCAGTACAAAATAAAAGCACACACAGACATTGTAATAAAGCATATCAGGGAGCTATTAGAATTATTCGAAGCATTTAGAGTCTCTAGTTTTGAAAACTTCTGCAACCTGGCAAATATCAATAGGCTTAGAAATATAAATTTAAACATGGTCACATTTGACAGACAGGAACACTATTTTCATATGAAGCTTAAGATGGGCCAATTATTAATGAAAACTATTTTTAAATTAATTTTTTCTTTGTAATTTAAGATACAGTGATAAAATGTATAAACAGGCACTTTAGATAATATAAAAGCTTGAAGCCACTTGGGGCTTCTTGAATAATCGTCACGAGTTACAGGAAATGTCAAATATTACAATGTAACTGTTATATCAGCTACAATTTTACAATTGCAAAACTACAATAACTTATAATTAATATTTAAAATAAAATTCATACTTAAATAAAACTAACTTGTAGGAACAGTAAAATGTTTTTCAAAAAATTGTTCCACAGCAATCATCAGCTCTAAATGTATTAAAATTCCTATTTTGAAATAATTTGTCAGAAATTTAGAGCTGACCAGTTAGCTTAGTTAGAGCATGGCCTTGCAATACCAAGGTCAAGGGTTTGGTTCACCTT